AAAAAGAAAAAAATAAAATGTTAATTCCCACGTTTTTCCCGACGCTCTGGCTCGACTCACGATAACACTCACCTACATCCACACAAAAAATCACAGTTTGAATCTTGTTATTAGAAGTCAACTTGAATAGTCATATTCGAAAAATATATTAAATATGACTATAGTCATATTCGAATATGGCTATAGTCATGTTACTACTGCTGTTCGAGATCTGGAAAAAAAATCGAAAAATACATAAATAAAGATAGAAAAATAACGAGACAGAGGGCGAGGTCTTCATACACAAAATCACCCTGGCATATCTTCACCCCAAACGACCCTCCATACTTTAACAGAATCATCAAGGTTGACGACATGATGTGCAGCACTACAAAAAAACATGAGAATGTGACTACAATGTGACTACCGAATTGTGATACTTTCACAATTTATATCCGGAGCTAGGGGGCACCAAATTCAATCTCCTCCGTACAGTATATAAAAATATATACTCTGAATACTCTATCCAAATTTAGGCCACATCCAACGGTTCAATTGTACAAAAAACGCGTCCAATCTAGCTGCCATGAATTATTCAGTAACAAAAACCAGCAGCGAGTTTTAAGATCCAATCTATATTCAGAGAAGTCTGATTCCGATCTCCACCGTTCATAAGTTATATTTATGTGTTACGAATCATGTGTAAAAATATCAACCCGATCCGATGGTTAGATCTTCCGATCTGGCCTCTGCACGAAAACTGTTGCATCTCAAAAACTTGATTTTTCTCCTTTTTTTTCGTTCGCTCTTCGGAAGGAGAATCAAACCCGGCGCCGGCGCCGTGTGCGGCTGAGTGGTGTCCATTGGCGAGTGATGGAAGATTATGGGCTGAAGAAGAAAAAAAAAAAAAAAAGAGAAGTTGCGTGAGAAATAGAGAGAGAATGAAAGAGAGATATATGGAGAGAATTAATGTAATCCTACAATTACGTGAGACGGTTATGGAAAATAAATATTGCAATTATTTTAAAAACTACTGATAAGGGTAGTTCCGTCTTATTAAAGTTGTTGAGGGGGGTTTCACTAATTAAGATTGGTCTTTGGGTGTGGGCAAAAGTCTTAAAAGTCAAATGGGTTTAACTCATAATATTTATGGTTTGAGGGGGGTTTTGCATATTTCCCCTTGGAAAAAATGTAATGTGAGGGGGTTTTTTGTATTTATGTATAGTATAAGGGGTATATGATACAAAGTTCATAGTATATGGGTGTTTTTGTATTTAACTCTATATTAATTTGGTAATGAAGGAATCTGCAGCCAATTATATACGTGCATTTGTAAATCTACACTCTCGTATATGGGTGAAAGTCAGATGAATCGGATCGTAGTTAGCCCTTTCGAAAAAATTTCAAAAAATTTTGAAAATACAAAATCAATTCAAATTCCAAAATACCGGAAATTTCGAAATTTGGGAAAAAATCGAAAATCACACAAGTTTTAATATTTCAAAGTTAGCGGATATGTTCTAAAAATTTCATTATTTTTTTTTCAGTTTAAAATTATTAAAACATAATAACTACTAAATTATTATTTGTGACTGTAGTGCGTGGCACCACTATTTAAGAAGAATAGACACATCATTCTAGAAAGAAAAATCTTAGTACTATTTTCGAATTATGAAAGTAATGTTTGACATAGGACAAGTTCATGTGTCACGTGAATATGTCTTCAACGTTGCCATCCATACACGTGTTTTTTTTTGCCTGTAAATTATTGGTAGATAATTAAGCGTATTTTGACTCATAATTAATTTCATGTTTATTTTAATTTGTGGGCGGCAATTAAATTGAAATTTGCGTCATAGAATTATCAATTAAGTCATTAACTATTTATTTGCCGTTGAAAACTTTGATTTTGAAAGTTTCGGATTATTTAATAGTTTCCATTAATTACTTTGACTTGTTATTATTTCCACAAGGTTTAACAACTTTCAAAGATTACTTTTAGCCAAAAAATGAAAAAGAAAAGAAAATTAATAATAATAATTTAATAATAGTGATTGAGTAGCGAAAAGCCAAATTTACTCTATTGGTTTTTGCCTTTTTGGTGCCTCTTTAAATAGGGAAAATATTTATTGGTCATTTAATAGACTTTTCTTCATGTATTCCAATTAAATATTAAACTTTAATAAACGATGCTTATAAGAAAATGATTTACAAGTTGACTTTTAAACGAACTTATGAACTTTACAACATCTTACAAAAAGTTTAAACTTAGACGAGTTTTGCAATTGTCTGCACCCTCTTTTAGAATTAGTCCATTAATCCATTTGGTTACTTACATTGGATTAATTTAAATTATATGGTACTAACTCGGTTTTTTACTGACTATTTAATTATTTAGTTAGAAAGAAATTCGATTCCTTAGAGATGGGGACCGGTTCGGCTACTTGGGCCACACCCATTTTTCTACTTAGTTATTGGGCTAGAAGCCCAACGGGCCTCGAAAGAAGGCCTGATGAGTTGGTAATTAAGAGATAGTCCAGTAGGATCGGGGCAGACCTCGGGAGTAGTGGGCCGAAAAGCCCGAGTAAGTCGCAAGGTAAATGAAAGCGAGTCAGGAGTTCGCTCCCACATGATCAATTCGCACATATAGTCCGATAGTAGTAGCTCGCTGCATATAACTGAAGAACTCGATGAAAACACGCCCGAAGAACATAAAAGACGGTAGGTGGCGAGTGGCGACCTCACCATCATACCGTTTGGCAAGCCTGATTCGCGTATCTTTTCCATCAATAAACGAGAAAAATATGTAAAGTAGTATCAATTACCAATCAATTAAGTGATCTTAAATTAGAAAGATAGCTATGGACAATCTTGTCTTGTATATAAACAAAAGTAAACAACCAATTACTTATAGGTCGAGCTTGTCACACATGGTTAGCCTAGTGTGGATTACGTCTCTCGTATAGTTTGCAAGCTATTATACGAGAGTGTGGGTTTACCCAGTGCAACCTATATGGTTGCTTGCGGGTTCCTTCATAACAAAAAAAACACAAAAAGTAAACAACCCGATTATGGTTACGTTTTGAAAAAAATCAATAGTATTTTATACTCTCTTCTTGAAATTCCCTCTTATTTACTATCTTCCATTAATTATTCCACCGCTGCTGGCTTGAAGTCCGACGTCTAGTGTACTCTTCGACAGTCGAAATGAGTAGGATTTGGAGATAGTTTTTGAGGATGTAAATTCTACACCACTTAAATTAGATTTTTTATTAAATTATGGTATTATATGTATAATATTAAAAAAAAAATGTTATTCGGTGTACCCATATACCATATAGACTATAGAGTAATAATTTGCCTCCAATTTGAAAGGATAAAATAGTCTTTATTTTAGTTTATTAATAAATCCATCGTTAGGAAAAAGATGTGGAATTAGTTTTAAACGTAACTACATAATTTATTCAAATTTTGGTCATATTTAAAAATGAAATTTGAAAAATCAACGATCAATGGGTCAATGACAGTCAAGGTGTTACCTCAGGGCAACTCCAACCGTCAAGTGCAAATCTATTATTTGCACTATTTACACAATTTAAGGCCAAAATCAGAGCTCCAACAGTATAATGGAAAAATGCAAATTTTAACAAATGGTAATTTTGGTTCTTAAAATTTGAAAAATCAAAATTAAAATTTAACCAATTGTGAAAAAATAAAAAAAATAAAAAGATAACCACAACCCATCTCTTTTAATCTTCAAATTTTACAGAAATTTGAAAATTAAAATATGAAAAAATAATAAAATATAATTGTTGTTTAAATTATAAACAATGTTATTGGAGTATACAATACTACAGTTAGAAGTGGTGGTACATAACACGGTATGTGTATCAAATTAAAGGTATAGACAACCAATTTTAAAATAACTGTTGGAGATGACCTAATATAAAAATAAACATATATATGCATAATTTTTCAAATTAGAGGAGGTCTAAATGCCGTTGGAGATGGCCTAATATAAAAATAAACATATATTATGCATAATTTTTCAAATTAGAGGAGGTGTAAATGCAATTATGCAAACATGGAGGATGCACGTTTTTAAATTATCTGGTTTCCCGTAGAGAACCCCCTTCAATTTCAAAATTGCATCTTCTTCCTCAAATTACAGAAAGGCCCTCATAAATTATAGAATTTAAAAACAGTCCCCTCTACTCTGTTTTAGTGCGTCGCAGCAACCCCGCGCAAACAAAACAAAAACTATCACCACCGCTCCCGCAAACGACGTCGTTTTGCCTCACACACTGTTCGGTGTCAGAGCCCATGAGTGCCGCACTCAAATCCTTCACTAAAACTACTTCCCCACTATCTCTGCATTTTTACCCACTGCAACTTTGCTCCAGACGACGTCGTATTGAACCACACTCTTCTTCCTTCAATTCGAAACCCTACTTTTTTCAATTTCTCCATTTTCTCTCACCTTTAATCGATTCCTTCAATGCCGGAAACGGCGCCGTCACTTTCAATACTGTCTCCTCTGTTTTTGAGCCTTCCGCAGTAAGACATTTTTCAACTTTCCTCTTTAATTGATTACTGAATCCGCAAAAATCTCGTGCGTGTAATTGATTTTTTTTCTTTTGATTTGAATTGATTGATCCCTTCAATTGCGGAGTTTAAACCGCGAATATTGCTTCTGGTTCCCCACTTTAAACCCCCTTTTTCTTTGCCTTTGATTAAAGCCTACATGTGAGTTACATTTGATTTGTGTTGATCTAAAAAAAACCGATCTTGGACTCAGTTAGGTTTTTTGGTGAATGGGTTTTGAGTCGAATAAGCAGGGGATGGAATTTGCAGCTAGTTCAAAACCCCTAAAACCCTCTTCGATTATTTCCGATAGAGTTTCGAAATTTGCGAAAGTCTCTAGATTTAGGTCCATCGGTGTCTTTAATACATCTGAAGATCTAGACGGGGGTAGTTCGCCTTCGTTAGACGAAGAAGTCGGCAGCTCGAACGATGATTTCGTGTTTTGTGCCTCGAAAGTTCGTTCGAAGCCCACTGAGGTAGAGAACAACGGCAATGTGGAGATTTTGAAATTGTTCGATGCTCTTTTGGCGTTGAAATTAGCGTATATGAAGCTGCAAGAAGCTCACATTCCGTACGATCCCGAGAAAATCAGAGCTGCTGATGAAGAGGTAGTCTCTTCGATCGAGACTCTCTGCTCGATTAAGAAGGCTTATAAGGAGAATCTATTGAAGGAAGATAATACAGTTTCTGCATGTTCGGCGCTTTTGCTCGCTGAAATCCATGTTAAAGAGAAGGCTCTAGAGAAGTTGAAGTCTCGTGCCAAGAATAAGGGCAAAGAGGTGGCTGTTTTACGGAGAGAGCTTCAAGAGTTGGAAACAAGGAACAACGGGATAGCCGAAGAGATTAATAAACGAGAAAAGGAATCTTTCAAGGGTTTGAATCATTATTCGTTTGAAAATATTGTGAAGGCGGTTGGAAAAGCTATTCACGATTTTGCTAAGCCGTTAATCGCCTTAATGAAACATTCGGAGTGGGATCTTGACAAGGCCGCTAGTGCAATACAGCCGTCCGTTGTGTACGCGAAGAGGTCCCACAAGAAATACGCGTTCGAAGCTTATGTTGCTCGAAGGATGTTTCACGGGTTTTCGCAAAACCAGCCCTGTTTCGAGGAGAACGTAATGAAATTGGACGACCCTATAGCTGCTTTGATGGAATACCCGCAGTCGAGTTTCGCCGAGTTTTGCAGAGATAAATATCTGTTGGTAGTTCATCGTGATATGGAAGTGTCATTTTTCGGTAATTTGGACCACAGGAGTTTTGTGGCCAATGGGATTCATCCACACACCCCGTTTTACCGTGCGTTTGTACGAATGGCGAGATTCGTGTGGTATTTGCAAGGATTTAGTGCTTTTATTGAGCCTAGAGCTGAAATTTTTGGTGTCAAGGAAGGAAGTGATTTCTCGAATTTCTATATGGAAATTCCAAAGGAGCTCGAGGAATATAAATCTCTTGTGGGAGAAAGATACAAAGTCGAGTTTATGGTCATGCCCGGTTTTAAGATAGGGGAGACTTTAATCAAGTCGCAAGTGTACGTCTCTAATGGAGGATTTTCAAATGGTACGGCTAATTAGGACGAGCGGTTCCGTTTATATGTAAATGGAAAATCGTTGTGCTCTTTCGGTGTTTTCATTTGGCGCAATCCTAATCGAGCAGGTACTTCAATTGTAACATTGCTTCATAAATATATATGTATATATATTTATATATTTTGTCCAATGTTTTTTACTCTATTTTCGGAGTATCGGTTCAGTTTATGTATAGCATATATATGTATTGTGTACTAATTAGGGACCTACGAGTAGAATGTATGTAAATACCCGAGAAAAAAATTAGTCTTTTTAACAAATATTTGGAATCATAAACTTCAATTACATTTCTTTCAGCTACTATTCATGAATTACATAGCATTTGCTCTGCATGTATGTAGTTTATTATTCCATTGAACGCATAATCATTAAAAAAAAAAAAAAAGGAAAAAAACCGAGTTGTCATATAAAGCAGCTCTACCTGAGGAGTCCTTTACGTGGCGTTTCGTCATAATTCTCACTTGCATTAAAAAACAAATCTTGGCACAGCTCACCGTAAAAACGGCCCACCAAATCAGCAAAAACGGGACTCTTGAGATTCTTCCAGTAGTAAAGAAGCTCTTCAACGTCAACCAAATCGCCCATCTTCCCTTCTTCAACAACCATCTCTATCAAGTGCTTCTCGAAGCTCCTGCACGCACCCGCCACGTCATCCTCCTCCTCCTCCTCGTTGTCCGGAGCTTCCTTCCTACTAGTGGGTCCCACGCCCAGTCTTATGTACGCTGGCGTGATGGGCGAAGGGTACGGTTCTCTGTGGTAAGGCGCGTCGGAGAAACTCTTGAGCTCCGAAACCCTGTCCGTCTGATCTCTGTTCCGTCTCAGTGAATGAAGGACCGACAGGATTTTCGGGAAACGGCCCTCGTAGGCGGTGTTGTTGGCTGCCGCGGCGGAGGCGGCAGTGGTGCTGGTTTTCCGGGCTCTAGGTTTCCGGTGACCGTTGTGCAGAGATTTCACGAAGACGGGTTTGTGGAGCCTGAATCTGAAGAGGTGTAGTATTTTCTTGCATGGTTTGTAAACGTTGCGTTTGAAGGACGATAAAGCCATCATCATATCTTTCGATAATTACACACACACACACACAGTAGTTGGCTGTTTTGTTTTTGCAGTTTCTGTTATTTAAAGGGGTTTGAGTAAAAAGGGTTTTGTGTGGAATTCACGTTTGAATAGTGATGGTCTCTCATTAGGGAAAGTGGTGTACCATACATACGAAATTGTTTTCAATTGTCTCGAATGAAATGTTTATTATGTTAGTTGCCTAGCACTTACAAAGTCCTCTCTTGGTATAAAGTGTTGGTTATTATTCTATGGCATCCCACTGATAAATTAGATGTGACACCTGATTATTTATACCGGGAGGTTTTGAATCGTAGATCTACATATAATCACACACACACACACATCCATGTGTATATGTGCTTAGTGAGTAGTTATTTAATCAAATGTATGGTTCAAATCCATCCGGAGTAAATAACCAGGTACCCAACTTGAATCATTGTAAATTATCTTATATCAACATATTTTTACTTCATAAACTTATCATGTATTAGATTTTAGCATTCTACTTGCCATTATTTTTTTTTTCTTTTCTTGATTAGTGAAAATATTGGGCTTAAGACTGTTGGAGTATAAATGAAACTAGGCCCATGAGGCCGAAATGATTTTATTTTTATGAGAAAGCCATATAATTAGCGGCCATTCAAGATCCTTTAAATAGATGACTCGTTAACTCATCACTATAAATAGGAAGCTCATTCATTACATATAGGGCAAGTGATTTTGTTCATTTGAGGAGCTTCCTACTCTCCTTATAATTATCGGTCACCGACTCGGTTGTTGTTAGGGCAATAGCTGGGACAACCCATGACGAGTCTCATAGTGTCTGCACTGTTTTGTAGGTTGACGCGTAGATTTGTACCAAGTGTTTGGATTTGTATTAGGCGTCATTCTCTTATTGCCGGACACGGGGCGAATAGCCCCTACATCTTCGTATTGTTTGAATTTGGAGTCGTCCACTGTTAAACTAGTTTATGAGCAACTCATGAGACTTGCATGGTTATAAATTGGGTAAAGTTCATTTTGTACCCTCTGGATTATGGGGTGTGTCGCATACAAACCCCTCAATTAAGAAACATATCAAATTCCCCGCTACGTTTTCTGGTCAAACTTAAAAGAATGTAATGACATTACTTTTGTATGGTTTTGTTGTGTAATTACAATTTTACCTCCAACTTCAGTTTATGGGAAATACCCTAGCGGATGTAATCATTTCCTTACACTCCAAGGTAAAATATTTCAAAGGAGACCAATTTTTCGTCCATCCATAGTGTATTCGAAAAATTCAAACCTCCATGAAACGAGAAAAGTTGGAACAATCTTCACCGAAAAGACCACGAGCAGTTCTAAAATCGTAGCACTAATTTGTACTGCTCCTTGAACTTATGGTTCGTTGTACCGACAACTTCCGATAAATAAGATATGTCATAATAGTCAAATTTCAAACAAGATGTATGAGATCGATTATTTGGGTTGAAAAGAAAAAAAGATACTAAAAAGGGAAGAATTGCATCGGCGCACCTGGAGTGAAGTGAATTTTGACATGAGTTGGTGTTCAGCAACGTTTTTTACGACTAAAGGTCAAAATGGTCATTTCTCCGCCAATGCCTAAATTTTCAGATTGGACCTGATATCAGACCCATCTAAAATACCGGATCCATAATCATCATAAAAGGTGGATAAATACTCGGGCCGTAACTTAATATTGGGCTTGCAAGTGAGCTACCAAACAAAATATCGCCTCTTTTGGCAGGCTCGAGCTCGAGCTCGTGTCTATTTTGTCGAGCTTGGTTTGTTCTTTTTTTGCTCGAACTCGAGCTCGTGCCATTTTGTTTGGTTTTTTTTTTTTTTTTTTAAATATTTGTTTAATTATTATTATTAAAAATTATTTTAAAACAAAATTACAAAATAAACAATAAATTGTAATTATATATATATTTTTAATATTTATATTTTATTTTTATTTATTTCTATAATATTTTATATTATTATACATTATTAAATAAAAAATAATATATGTAAAATAAAAAAAAAAATAATAAGGCTCGCGAGCTGGCTTGTGAGCTCACGAACAATTAAAAAGTGGCTCGAGCTCGAAAAACTCGAGTCCGAGTTCGAGCTTTTTTCGAGCCGGCTCATCGAGCTCACCAGTCGGCTTGACTCGTTTACCGCCCCTAGATCAGACCCTATCAATTTCACAATACGTGTCAATGATATATTATGATAGACAATGTATGATCAATTCAATCAAATTTATCAATCTCGTAAACATTACCGGTAATTAGTATTAGTAGAGCTAGCTACTAAGGATCCTACTAAGGACCATATAGGCTTGAGATTAATTGAGAATCGACGGTTAACCGTTCCACCTAGCTCCGTCAATTCATAGCCTTGGAAATTACGACCACCCCTGGGATATGATAAAATTACGAAAATCCCTCTCTTGTTTGGGTAATTACAATAGCCCCCCTTAACTATAAATTTTCTTACATGTCCACCCTTGCGGTTTAAAATTTAGTGGAATCTTCTTGATTATATGGAATATTATTACTTTTGTACCCGTTTTATCCCATTCGAGCTCCACATTTTGAAGCAAGATGATCATAAGATGTGTTTTTTGGTTTGTATATATCAGATTGTGGTGCATCAGTAACTTTATGTTTACACAAAACGAGTACAAACTAGAGCACATTTCACGGAATGTAGATGATTATGTTGAATTTGACACCATAAGGATGGATGTGTAAGATGATACATAGTTGAAGGGTAGATGTAATTATCCAAACAAGAGGGGGGTTTTTCGTAATTTAACCATACATCATGGGATGGTTGTAATTTGCCATTAACTAATTAATTAGACTTTGTTTAATGTTTGATATCCCAATAACTTGTCGGGCGACCCGTAAATAGTATGCTGAAATTGGATGTTTTAGTTATGAATGCAATTAATTAATTAATTAGTGACAAAAATGAGGTAGCACGCGACTAATTAATTGAAACAACTTTATTTAAACAGTTGAACAAAAATCGTGCATGGCGTCCATCATTTCTGGAGCACGGAATTTTGGGGAAAACAGCTATGCATACACATATTTGCCTTTTCTTTTGTAGCTATTAAATCATACTCCATTATTACTTCTTCTCAATCATTGCACACAAGGAATGCTTTATCACTTATGAAGATCATCTAAAAGGACTTGAGAATAATTTCAATGTATTACACTGATTTCTAATATGATTTTCGCAATATTCGAAACACGGAAATTGTATTTTTAATCTGGTTTTGACGATATTCGAAACACGGAAATTGTAGTTCTTTGAGTCACCTTTCTAATCCAAATTGATTCGCTAAATATATTGGATGCCTATAGCATAGTTATGTATGAATAAATTACGTTTTGAATTTTAGATAAGGGTAAATTCCACTTTCCCGTCCTTTACTTTGACTCGATATCATTTTACCATATTCTACTCGCGATTGCATCGATTTGCCCACATGTACTTGGAAAATTATTTCAATTGGCCCTCGCCGTCAAACCTTTGAGCTTAACACCGTTTGGTCTAAGGTCTGAAAATTACAAAAAAAACCAATGCTCTCAATTTAAATAATTATACAAAAGAAAAACAAAATTGTGATTGTTGTCGTGGACTATGCTTTCTCGTTGTCTTTTTTTTTTTTTTAATAATTATTTAAACTGGGAGGGGTGGCATTTTTGTAATTTGACGGCACAGACTAAATGGTGTTAAGGTCAAATGTCTGATAACTAAAAACGAGGGCCACATTGAAACAATTTTTCAAGTACAGAGAAGCAAATCGATGCAATCGAAAGTAAAAAGAGGTAAAGTAATATTGAGCCAAAGTGCAATGGAGAAAAAATGAATTTGCGAGTACTGTTTATTGATTAATTCATAAATCATATCTTATTCATCTAAAATAAAACTACATATTCTATGTTTTGAATTTTGCGAAATTCAGCATAAAAAAATGGGCAAACTCTAATTTATAATCAAAACTGTATTTTAAAACTTAAACAACATTTATCACATCTCATCTAAAAAACTAACAAAAAATTACATATGAAAAACATAAATAAAAAAATGTATCCTCAACTCTCAATTATCCAAACCATATTAGTCGGTGGACCTCAAATTCTTAATTCATACATATATAAAATAAAAATGATTATATAAAAAAGATAAAAAGTTTTATAAAATAATACATGGGACTTTGATTTTTTTTTCTCTCTTGCCTAGGGCCCCTTATTAGTTAGGATCAACTCTCCAATCAATTTTCATTGCTATGGCAATGTTTGTTCTTGATCCCATTCCAATTTTATGTTTTTCCGGAAATGAATTCGTGCTAGATAGGTTTTTTTTTTTTTTTTAAAATTCAAAATAATTTTAAAAGTTACTTCTCCCATATATTATTTGGCGACTAGTATAGTAAAAAAAAGACTGCTACAATAAAAAAAATGTCTTTACTAAAAACTAATCAAACATTAATTTTTTTTCTTCAAATTCTTCTTATAAAATACATTTTTGCGACAACTTCAAACATAATTTGACTGTTACAGTATATTTTGTCAAACTATTCGCTCAAAACATATTTTACTAAGATAAAATAAAAACAACTCCCTTCAGTATGTATTTCATTAGAAATGTAAGGTACCTCTATATATATTTATGAATATATGATGAAATTAAATAAACATTCCATAAACTTTAGGGAAGAGTTTGTCACAATTACTTTATTTACACTCAATTGACCCAAAAATAAAATATATAATTGAAAATGTATATACATAAATCCCATGGCCCACAAAGTAATTTATTATTATATAAAGAAGAAAAGTGGAATGGAGAAATTGTTGGTTGTTTGTTTGTGTGGTATATAAAGGCAGGGGCAGCAGCAAATCTGGGCTGTTGCTTCCACTTGATTTCATGCATGCCAGTGTTTCCCATCACGGCGGCCCCACCACCATTCAATTATTACTTTTATACAAAACTAGGATTAAACACATCATTTTCTCATTGCTTTTAGTACTAAAATCATTGATTCTCTTTCTATTTCACTAAATCTCTCTTTTTATTTTCTTTTTTTCATTACAAAATTACAAATCTTGTTTGACAAAATTATATATAATTTAATACTTGGTTAGTCCAATAATTTTAAGACCGTCCCCGAAAATTTGAGAAAAATAAATTGTAACTTGCACTAAATTGCGAAATCTCTCGCCCTCAGAGCCTCATCCCTGGTGCCGACAAGGAAATAATCCTTATTAGAGTTGAAATTCTCACACTGCGGCTGCCACGATTCGATCCTAAGACCCTGCACCAACTCATCGTTCCGAAACAAGTTGAGTTGTACCCATGCGTGCAAATAAATTGTTACTTTATTCTATTAAAACCATTGTATATGGAACCTTCTAGTCAAACCAATGTTTACGGACGAACTTCACACGCTTGTATTATATCACACATGTATAAATTTGGTAAATTGTATTTTTAGTCATGGATGTTCTTATATTTAGGGATTTAGTCCTTACAAAATCTTAGCATTTTTTTGTCATATTTCACTCGTATTTTGAATTTTACCCAATTTTTTTTTTAATGATTTAGCTAACAAACTCGCCGACATTTATCTATGGTGAAACTTAAAAATTATATATAAATGCTTTTGATCTAACTTGGTTTACACATTCGTCCACTTACATAATGAAAAATTTGCAGTGCCGTAGATGTAGAATTTATAGTTTCTAGGTGTCCAAGTAAATTCCGTCAAATTTATTTGCCACCTCATAAAATTAAAAAAAAAAAAAAAAAAAAAACACGCGAAATAGGACCAAAAATACTATATTTGCAAAGTTAGTGCGTGTAAAATGTGAAACATGACAAGTAAGAGGACTAAATGTCTAAATAGGCCAAACATAAAGGACCAAAAGCATAATTTTCTCTATAACCAAATGCATATGTTTGTAATTTTGTGTAAAGCAAAACCTCTCCTATATAAATATAGGTACATATATCAACCAATCTCTTGAATATATCATTCTTAAGCATATATATACATAACAAAATTCCCAAAAAAAAAACAAAATCTTGAAATAGATCAATCAATGGGAAATCACAAGTTCAGATTGTCAGATATGATGCCGAATGCCTGGTTTTACAAGCTGAGAGATATGAGCATCAAATCAAGAAGCATCAATAACAATCCCTATCCAACAAAATCATCGTACCGAATCACCGACACGAACCCTAACAACAATAAAACCTTCGACAAATCTCCCCGAAAATCTTCCTCCAAGAAAAAATCCAAGCGCAAAACCGTCTACATGCCGTCTCCGAAGAAACAACCGCAATTCAACAACAACCCTTCCGTGTTATTTCCTGGGCCCGACCGCAATTTTCCTGTCTGGCTTAAGCCCGGAACGGTACTCGATCATCATCAAGAGCGTTTCCGGGAAGACGACGAATCCGATTCATTAGATGCTGCCACGTGTAATGATTCTTGCTGTACTTGCAAACTAGTAATTGCCACTACTTCTTCCGAAGCTGACGACGATGACGAAGACGATGGTGGTGACATCATCATCGACGTCAGCGGCAACAACCGTCCAACAATAGACAACCTCATGAACGGATTCGAAGAATTCAACGAACTCCCTCCGATTCGCACCAAGCCGGCCGCGAAGCCAGCACTACCTTCTTCGGAAAATGACAAAAACGCCCCTCGGGCCAAGAAGAGCAAGAAAATTGCGGCCCGTAAATCGGTTTCGCGGGCCAGTGGAGTGAAGATACGGGCCAATGGGCCTAGAGTAGCTTCGAACGGTAGCAGAAGAAAACCAACTAGCGTGAAATTAAGTGGCGATCGTGATTATGATTACGATTATGAAGACGAGGAGAAGAAGAAAAAGAAGGGTTTGTCGTTTTATTCGGAGAGTTTCGCTATTGTGAAGGCATCTTTCGACCCGGAAAAAGATTTCCGGGAATCTATGATGGAAATGATTGTGGAGAATAATATTAGGGCATCCAAGGAATTGGAGCATCTTCTTGCTTGCTATCTGTCGTTGAATTCGAACCAGTACCATGATCTTATTGTTAAGGCATTTGAGCAAATTTGGTTTAATATGCCTCAACTCGAAATTAATTAATTAATTAGTTCTACATAAATATATATTCATCTTTTTTTTTTTTCTTTCTAGTTTATGATAAATGTATTTATGTAATATTTGGAAATATATATTAATTGTAGCTTCTTAGTAGAACTAAAGAGGGCTTTAATTAGTTAACTCCACATTTCATGTGTTCTTTCTTGATTTTTTTTACATGTTATATATAAAATTTTGTAATTGATTTTTGGTAATTATGAAAAAAATAAATTGGAATTGTGTCTGTATTTGGAAGTGCTCGTTGTTAACCACAAATTTTTGAGTCTGTACAATATAAATACGAACACGCACTTAACACGTAAACAAATAATTCATTTTGTCAAAGAAAGATTTGATTTGCTCTATTTTTGTCGGACACGATGAAGTAGTAAAGCACAAAAAGGTTAAGAAGACTATTGTAAAATTAAATTGAATTAAAAAAGGTCAAATAGTAAAATAAAGATTTGAGAGGTTTGAGGTTGAAACTCACTAGAAATATGGTTGAAGGTGTTTATGTTTATTCGATTCAGAAACAAGTTTTTAAGCACTTGAATCGATCTAAAAGAAAAGAATTAATAGAATTTCAAAAAGGGAATTGCTTTTTGCGGTTTGAAAATTGCTATTCGCGGTTTATAACAAAACACTCAAAAAAAAAAAACACTTTATTTCACTAAAATCCCAAAAGTTCCCAAAAAAATCCAAAAACCCCTCCAAAATACGTAAAAGCCCAACTTGGGCGCCCATTAATGCAGTGCAAGCATTCGAACATTTTTTAGCGAAAAAAAAAGCCCTACAAATCGATTTGTAGGGCTTTTTAACATGAAATTGGTTCCGTAATCGACCTACCTAATGCATATTACACATAAAAGGGTCGAAATTACATCGAAAAATCGAAGCCCAACCCTTCTTCAAGCTTGATTTCGAATTTTTGATTTTTTTTTTTTGTGGCTACTTGCAGTTTTGGGGGGTTTTTTGATATTTTTAAGAGTTTTGGGAGGTTTTGTTATAAACCGCGAATAGCAATTTTGTAATCGCAAATAGCATTTCATTTTCAAAAACCGTAATCATCTATTTCGTTTGATTAATAAATATATTTGTTTCGTATAATTTATATTTTGCAGACACGGAAATTTGTGGTTAATAGATATCATTGTCAGAAGAAGGGAATATGATATATTGTGATGTGTAGTGTTCTATTTGAGAATACTCTTTGTTGACATCTTTG